GGTGAAGAAACATGCTTGGAAAATCCGACCCACCCAAAAGCTATGCCCGGAGGGGATGCCCCATGAAAACTGAATACTCCCTCAGCTTAATAATATCATGTCAGTTATACGTGTGCTAAGTTTCACCTTTCCATTTCTGTCCAATTCGCCGCGACATCGCCCCTCGAAAAAATTCCCCCAGTGGATGTATCGAGACTTAAAATTTTCCTTTAACTCCATGTCTCAGTAGTAACATTCCTGCAAAGTTTCAGCTTTCCGTGTTCATCAGTTTAACTGATGCAAATTAATTAATGGAAAACATCTCCGTTTGAAATTTGTGCCCCAGGGCATTTACTTCCAGTCTGAAATTTTCTGCACACAGCATCCCAAAACATAAGCCACNGTCAGTCAGTCAGTCACGATCGTCTATATATATTAGATAGGAAACCTATAGACTTTCCTATAGGTTTTTGAAACAAGAAAAACCCATAGAATCCTTTAGGATCCTATAGAATCCCTATTGGGTCTTATAGGTCTCCTGACCTATAGGATTCAGGGAGGATATTTTGGGTTTCGAAACCCTGGCATTACGACGGAAAAGACGACCGGGGTTAATATTGGCACAGTATCTCGGTCTAAATAAAAAACAGACTAGGAGTTTTTCCATGGTAGGGACACATTCGTTATTAATACCAGTACTGCGGGGGTCTGCATAATTTACGGCCCCACTCCACATACGTTGCTGGATTTCACGTCTACTTCCTTCGGTAGGGAGATGTAGTATTCTTCTCTCGACCTAAGAAAATAGAAGAAAGAACCACGGAGCACGTCTCTGTACAGAAACGCCATTTAGAGAGTGTCTACTCAGTCTCGTACGTGGTCTTCAAAAGGAATAAGGGCATATTTCTTCACGGGACTCCATGATTATATCTGGAAGATTGCCATGACAAATAAGGAACTGTCGAAGTTTATTGATTGCTACAATGAGGCAAGGCGAGACATCTGGGGACGTACAAAACTCTCTTGTGAGAGATGATTCCTTGGGTAAGGGGAGAGCACTTTTGTGCCCTTTGAGAAATGTGAGAACCTAATACTTCCATCTAGTGGCCTAGAGAAGAACTTCAAATGGAACCCTATAGGCCTATAGGGTTCCGTATAAGCCCTATAGGGAACCCAATAGGCCCTATAGGGAACCCTATAGGTCCTATAGGGAACCCTATAGGTTTTATAGGGAACCCTACTGGTCCTATACAGAACCCTTTGTGTCCTATAGGGAACCTATAGGCCCTATGGGGAACCCTATTGGTTCTATGGGGGACTGTATAGGTTCTATTGGGGACTCTATAGGTCCCAGTCTGAACTCTATGGGGCATGTTGGATCCTATAGGATTCCTATAGGATTCCTATATATTCTTAAAGGAATATATAGGAATCCTATAAGACATTTTCGTAAGGGGCAGCTTCTGCAATCGCTGTACAGGGACTGAACGGCCCGTAATATGATAGCTGACCCTGGATCCCATACTCTTGCAGCACTCTCCACACTTTTCCTCGGGGTACACGGTCTTAAGCTTTTTTAAGGTCCACAAAGGACATGTAGACATCTGTCGCCTACTCCCAATGTCTCTCGAGGATCTGGTGGAGAGTGAACAGCTGATCCGTGGTGCTGCGCCTTTCACGAAAGCCGCACTGCTCCTCTTGGATGGCATCACCCACGACTGGCAGAGCTCTCTTTTCCAGCACCTTGGAATAGACAATCCCAGGTATGCTGAGTAGAGTGATCCCACGATGGCTCGTGCACTCCCTCGTGTCCCCCTTCTTAAAAAGAGGAACCACCGCACCAGTTTTCCAATCCGTAGGTGCCGTTCCCGATTCCCAAGCAGCCTGACACAGCCTATAAAGGCACGAGCACACATCTGTACCCATTGCTTTCAGAGTCTCTGGACGGATTTCATTCACACTAGGAGATTTCCCATTCTTCAGGCTAGCAATGGCCTGCAGAACTTCCTCTATGGTGAGACTAGTCTCTGCGCTGAGAGGCTCCAAGTCGGGTAGGTCAGTGTCCACTCTTGGTGGGTTTAAGAGCTCTTCAACGTGTTCCTTCCACCTCCCAAGTATATCCGCCTCGGCAGAAAACACCTCCCCGTTTCTCTCTTTGATGACTCGGAGCGTATGTTGCATACCTTGCTCTAACCTTCGGATGGTTTGCCAGATCACCTTGATGGCAGTGTGGTAGTCTGATTCCATTTGATCGCCGAATTCCTTTCACGCCTCCTGTTTCGCTTTGGCTACAACACGAGCAGCAGTTCGTCGCGTCTCGATATATCTATACCAACAGCACGTCCTCGAAGAATCAGGCCTACTGGACATGTACGCCCAGTAGGCTACCTTCTTGGCAGTAACAGCCTCGCGCACCGCTGGTGTCCACCAGGGTGTTTGCTTGGCGTTACCGTGAGCCACACCGATGCGCTTCTCCCCACATACTCGAGCTGCCGTCGCCGAAACACCAGACCGAAATGGAGTCCATTCGGTCTCTACATCTGACGTCTGGGGAAGCAGTTGGAAGTACTTCTCGCCGATCTCCCCCGCAAATTCATCACGAGTTCCCTCATCGCAAAGGGCTTCCCACCTCACTCGTTTTTCAACGCGTGCGGTTCTCTGCTTCGTTCTGAGATTCGCTCGTATCCGAAGTTTGCTGACCACTAGATGATGATCGGTGCTCATTTCTGCTCCAGGCCACACCCTCGTATCCATCACAAGGCTCCCTCCACAAGCCCGCAGAAACGATCATGCAATCGATCAGCGATTGCTGGCACACAGTACCCGTCCGACTATCAAACCCCTTGTGCCAGGTAAACTTGTGGATATATTTGTGCTGGAAGAAGGTGTTGGTGATGGTCAGGTCATTGTCAGCGCAGTAGTCCAGCAACTTTCTGCCATCCCTTTCAGCGTGGCTTCCCCAAATCGACCGATCACACCACTCCATGTAGCATCGTCTCTCCCAACTCGTGCATTGAAGTCCCCCATCAGCACAACGCGGTCGCCTTTCGGAATCTTATCTAAGGTTCCATTCACCTCCTCCAAAAACGCATCGTAATCTGACTCACCCTTTCGGCCCATAGACCTGAACGACGGCCAATACTTTGATTTCCTCCAGTCTGAGGCGGATCAGAGCGACGCGCTCGCTGACTGGGTTCCATTCAATGACGCTTTCGGCCAGTTGGGGACTAATGAGTATCCCAACTTCAGCCTGAGCAAAGACGGTCGAATCGACTCCGCTCCAGTAGAGGGTCCATCCGTGGTCTAGGGTAATGGAACCAGTGCTTTTCCTCTTGGTTGAGGCCGGGCCAACTATATCTAGTCGTCTCCTCCTATTCTCCTCCACGAGTTCAGGCTCCTTACCGCCGAGTGTTAGCACGTTCCAAGTCCCGATGTTCAGAGTCCGTTGCCAAGGTCGTTTACCTTCGATTCCGCTCCTGGTCTGCCCTTGGGGCATCGTGCCGAGATTACGCTATGGCTGGTGGCAAGCCGATCGATAGGCCTGGATGTAGCATGACGGGGTCCGACGCACCCAGACATCAGATTGCCCTGCCGCAGTAGCCAACTTATCAATAGACACCCTGGGCGCATAGTGACTATCGCAGTCTTGATTATCCTGGGCGACAACTGAGCCAGTATGGAATACCCTAGCCGAATTCATCATGCTGTATTTGGTTCGTCTTGGTCACGCTCAACGGAAGCCCCTATAACATGGTTGGACGTGAGATACTACGGCCATCCGCATCACTGGGGTCCATCCTCGCGACGTGGACGCACGAACCATTGAGGACGCCCTTGTTACAAATTCTTCAAATTCATGGATGTTATCCCGAACATAATATTGATTGATATAGGAACGCTAGCTTTTCCATAGTAGATCATGACATCGAGAATTGCATCTCAGCTTTTATTCCATGGCCGACAGTCACAGTAAGGGAAGGCGCTGAAAATTCTCAGTTAGTCTCGGTCTCTGTCATTTTTCGGTCATAGTTGATCGGGCAACCCAATGCATATAATAACGTTATTTTCCAAATTGGGAGGAAGAGAATCTAGACGGGCTTCACCCCTTTGGATATCCCAGAGGGTAAGAGGTAGATTTGGAACCATGTGGACGTCCCCTTGGTGGATGTGCACCCGGTGGGACGTCCACCTTGTTTCAAATCCACAAGGGGGGAGGGGGGATGTTCTTGTCTATCCCCCAGTGGACGTTGTGTATGCGCATTTATACTGAGCTCAAGAAGGTAGAGGAACAGCATCGCTATAACACCGTGGAATCGCTTCATGCAATGTGAAAGTAGAGGGAGTTCTTAAAATAACTACCTATGAGCGACATCTTTATTATGGACCCTGAAGTAGCCATTTTTTAAATTGTTGTAGCCTAACAACGTACCAACCACGGAATAGTGTCAGATAATTTCTCCTCACACTTTGGCACGGCCAATAGTTAATATTCCAAGTTTGGTATTTTAGGATTTTTTTCTTAATTCATTTTCATGGAGAAGGAATTCAGAGAACGATTAGAGGAAAATATTTACGTTCGAACTTATTGCAATAACTTCTTGAAGTTATCACGGTATTGATTAATTAGTGGAGGGGTTTGGGAAGTAAAAAGCCTTCCAATTTCAAATGTATTGGACAATTTATTTATTGAACATTTGACAAACCAGCTCCGTAAACATTTATTTAATGATGCACCACAGAATATGTGAATGCTTCTTGGTATCTTTCACATAAGAATACATTGACATGTCAAAATATCAGTATTCCTCGGACTAGTACTGTACATATATATGTTTCTGATAGGGCTCACCAAAGAATTAATACCGTCATTATGGAGGTGGAGAAGTCGAAATTTTCAGTCAGTAATTAACTGCGTCAGTTAGGTGCAATTCCATCGTCAATGTTTTCCCGGTTATTTAAACTGGACATGGTTCTTCGAACGGTTTGGCCAATGTCACCTCTGGAGGTGTATAGGAAAGGCATTATTGTGGGTAATCCTCTTCGAAAGGAGACTGGAATTCTTCTTCTGGTCTTCCTCTACTTCCAGGTTGATTCGAAGGTCTATTGCTTGGTCTATTAGATGGTCTATTGCTCGGTCTATTGAATGGGCGTTCTTGTGGCTGTTCGTCTTCAAAAGGAGACTCGAAATCTTCCTCCGGTCTCCCTCCCCCTCCAGGTTGATTCGAAGGTCTATTGCTTGGTCTATTGGATGGCCTATTGCTTGGTCTATTGCTTGGTCTATTGGATGGGCGTTCTTGTGGCTGTTCCTCTTCGAAAGGAGACTCGAAATCTTCCTCCGGTCTCCCTCCCCCTCCAGGTTGATTCGAAGGTCTATTGCTTGGTCTATTGGATGGCCTATTGCTTGGTCTATTGGATGGGCGTTCTTGTGGCTGTTCCTCTTCGAAAGGAGACTCGAAATCTTCCGCCGGTCTCCCTCCCCCTCCAGGTTGATTCGAAGGTCTATTGCTTGGTCTATTGGATGGTCTATTGCTTGGTCTATTGCTTGGTCTATTGGATGGGCGTTCTTGTGGCTGTTCCTCTTCGAAAGGAGACTCGAAATCTTCCGCCGGTCTCCCTCCCCCTCCAGGCTGATTCGAAGGTCTGTTGGATGGTCTATTGGATGGGCTTTCTTGCATGGGAGGCATTTCTCTCCCGCCTAGAGGAGGGATTTGAAAGGGTAGCTCATCCCTATGGTGTGGTCTTTTTCTATGACGATCGCCTCCTGGGCCTCTAAGATGATCACGATGGCGTCCTCCCGGTCTCCTTTCCTCTTCGAATTCAATTTCCCCTAGCTGTATCATGAGCTCCTCGTTCGACATGCCTCCACTTCCTCTCTCGCATTGTTGGATCTCATCCTCTCTCCCCTGCCTTCGCAGATCGTTTCTTACCTTGTCTCCGAACTTCTTCAGCTCCTCTCTGAGAATATACCGTTCACATGGCGTATGATTCACCCCAGTCACTAAGTACCTATCTCTATATGTAATTTAAACTTCATATAGGAAAGTTTTGACACAAAGGATTTTCGGGGCATTGGTGGGTTCATCCATCCCCCGCCGATGGTGCCTTTTACCAGGCGACAATATTCAATGTTTCTGTTGTTCATAAGCTCTCACTTTTACAATTGACTAGCGATTTTAATGAGTAATAGCTGAAATTAAGGCTAAAGGTCTGCAGTTTTATTGATTAAAGTGCATTTTACAAATTATATTGGAATTACGCTAAAATGTGTTAATGGGCTACGTAAAATGGGTAAAATAGGTTAAACGTTGACCTCGTGTCAATGAGTTTAATCACAATCCACACCCTTTGCTCTAGCGAGTATTGTTCCTTCATGTTAAATTTGCAACGAAACAAAACTGTATGAGTCAAGCTTTCTGGAAATGTGTCCCTCAACGCACTCCGTTGAAAATTCCGTACATGGCGAGGCATTAAAATCTGTCATGTTGAGAATTGTCATCCTGTACGTAGACAGAGAAAATTAAAAAATTATTCTTTAGCAAGTTATATATCAATAATTAGGCAACGACAGTGTGAAACTGAGAGAATGGCTTAATTATTTTATTTTTCCATTTCCGTTCAATGTCAGCATGAGACTTCTTTGTGGGCGAGGGAGGAGTAATGATAGGAATTTACCATGCCACTATAGCAGGAACTTAAGATTCGCTGACTCAAGATTTCCCTTTAGATGTATCCGAGAAGCGATTCTCACCGAAGTTTGATTGAAACAATTGTGACATAAGTTATAGGTGTGTCGATATTGGCGATTTCTCTTAATTGTAAAACTCAGTGCATGATAATCTGCATTAATCCACTTTCTGGGCTTGCACCAACTGCTGCCTATCATGAATGAAGACGTGATCTGAAGTGTCGGAGTGGTGGAGAGGACGGGACTCTTCAGTCTGAGGACTTTCTCCCTCTTTTTACGCGCTCGATGTGATTCTTATTATTCAAGGATAGCTAAAGACGTTACCTTCTAATAATACATTCTTTGACGCAACAGTCGCTAGAGGATAAGGCGCCATTGATGGAACATTTCGGTCTTTTCCAGACATGAAGGCAATCAGAAAATGAAGTGCATTTGACTAACTCAGTTTTCTTGGAGAGCCTCCTGAGAGCTTCTCTGTCGCCGGTCAGTCTGAGAATGCCGCAAATGGCTTCGTCTGCCAGACCCAAGGGAGCTAAGACGTCGGCGATGAGGTCACCGATCTTCCCGACCTTCCCCCCTTTTCTGTCCCTTCCGCCTTTCTTCGCTTCCCGCCGGATCCGCTTTCCCAAGGCTGGGGAGAAACTGCATGAAAAAGGGGGAAAAGAAAAAATTATATAGAAATATATTAAAGTAGGGCAGTTCAAAGGAACGGTCACAAACTTCGCACTTTGTTAATTTCCTATCTGTTAGTCTAAATAGCAATAGGAACCTCACCTATTTATTTTTTTTATTGTTCTCAGTTAGGTTCCATTACCTTACGATGGTTTTTGGCTAAAGATACAGAGATACAGATACAGATACAGTTAAGCTATTTTCATGATCAACATCAGATCTCCCAATCCACAAAGGGCGGGGGGGGGACCAATTAAGGCCAATTCATCCCAGGCCTGAATAATTCATTTTCCGGCCAACCACAACCAATACTAGCCGGTCAATGGGGGTAGGGGTTAAAATTGCCTTTAGAATCTTGTTCCAAAAACGCCGAGGCAGCTTCCTGCCAGCCTTCTGATTTTCTAGTTTAGAATCCAAGGTGAATCTTGTGACTACGTTCTGACTTTCTTCCATTAACCAAGAAGTGGACGCCATGTCCGTTCTTCATATGGACTCTGTACACCCAGCGAAGTTTGGAACGTGACTTCAAAGCATTTAATGTATTTTGCATTAGTCAACCGAAAACATCTATACTCCCACCAAAAATCGAATGATATTGTATCTTCTTGGAATCGTAAGTAATTCTTCGGTAAATCGGAGTAATTTTGAAATTGTTATTGGCATGACTGCTTGCGGAATATTGCCTGGGCTGTAATCCGGCATAAATGGCTACCTTCACCGAAGGGGCGTCGAAGGAACATCAGAAAGATATGATTCAGCTTTGCGTGCAGACGGTGCGAAACCACGTGATGTTTTTCACTTCATCACAGAGTGGTTGCCCTTTATGGGGAGGCATGTTTGCTCTAGATGAAAGTATATGAACAATGCAAAATGTTTCGTGCCGGATGCCTCTATGTCGAGGACAAACCCCATCCAAGACCGGCCGATGTAGTCATCACGGACGCGAACATCGCGAGGGTGGACGAGGAGAAAAAGGACGCGTGTCTCGAAAAATTGCGTGGGGAGCAGGGTCTTGGTGGGTGTTCTTTTACTGCCACGGACTACTCCTCTGGGATTTTCTGGCCGATGGGGATAACGATCGACTCGAAGAGATGCTGCCACACTGCGCAAGAAACTGGTCTTGCCACAAAGAGGAAGCGGCTTTTGACTGTTGACAGAGAACACGATCCTTCTTCACGACAACACGGGACCTCACACCGCTCGTGCAACGGTAGTTATCATTCAAATCTTTCTTGAGAGATCCTAGACCGTCTTCCGTACAGTCCAGGGGCCTTATTCGATTACTTTCGCAAGTGCGATATCCCTCCTAGTGTGAGTCATGTCAGTCCGCATAATTTTTCTCCGACCCCCTCCAATTTATATGACATTTGGTGTGCTGAAAGTACCTATTGAGAATACAATCTGCAGCAAAATTTCAGCTCCATACATCATGTATTATGATGATGACAGAGAATCACGAAGTCGAGAATTTTGGGGCACTATGGGTCTAGGGATCACAAAAATTGCCATAACTCCCATATAAATGAAGGCAAGTGTGAGCATATTGCATCGTTGGATAGGTTATACAATTCCCTATTATATGATATGTAGCACACGGTAATGAAGGCAATGACCTTGGACTACATGTTTTGTAATTACCTCGAAATTTCACCTGACCTAGACCTGAGTTCTTACGCTCGACTTCGCTAAAATTCTAAGACATCGTCAATTATGACATCATTCATGTAGACCGCAAATTTCATTTTGGGTTTTTGACTATTAACAGAGCTATGAACATTTCATACGAGATCATAACATACACCTGTATTACACAACATTAGAGCCATGGGCTCGCACCTGCGCTTCACTTATCACCAATAATCTTTCCTAATTGCTTCGAATTAGCGGTCCAACAGTTCAAAGAGCATGTATCATTTCTTACGCCTTCAGAACTTTAACTTCCCATTTTCTGCGAAGGAATGTATTTTCAAAGAGAATGTACTTGGTCAGTCGGACAATAGAAAAGCATGTAATGTTTGAGATCCTGATACTAGCACCGCCGAGTTAAAATGCTCTCGAAGCATATATGCGTGAGAGGATAATTCTTCCCTCAAGCAGAAGATGAAGTTGATTGCAGCGATGTTGCCCGCTGCCCAAGTATACAGATGAAGAGGGGACGTTATCTGATCACTTGTCCGTCTCTGCAGACTTGCCTTTGTAGCGAGTCGCTTCAATGTTCTTCCTAATTCGCGACACGGGCCCTTGCCGTAGGAATTTGCGCAAACAATGCCATTCCGTGGGCATTCCAGTCATAGTGCCAAGCAATGTTTGTAATATTCTTCCCATTTGTATACTGCGCGGCGCAGCCGTCGGAAAAATAATACAACTTCATAAGAATGATTTTCGTTGTGATGCATGCCAAGAGTAATTTCATGAATAAATGGACTACCACTGTGTCGTGGTACAGTGAATCTGAAATGGCTACAAAACCTTAAATTTTCTAAAGCCCAGTCGTTCACGAAGTATGCCACTGACAGATGGATTGTGGCCTGGTCGTTACGAGTTCATTAGAGCTCGTAGTTCAGTGGTAACCCTGAATGGCGTCCTGAATCACAAAAGGAAAATTCTCACAAAGGTCACTCGTGACGAGCAGTTATTGTTCCTTAAACGATCCCCTCAATTTCTTGTGAAATTTCATTGAGAACTATGAAAACAAAGAACTTTGCCAACATTGCTTGGCACCAAGAAGACTTTGGAATGCCAATGGAATGGCATTGTTGGGAGCTGTGAGCTTCCACGCCTACACACTTTTCGGGCTGTGTTTCAAAGGAAGCCCTCCGCCGTCCCAGGAACCGCTCTCTTGGTTATCTCGGGCCTTGTCATCCTGGCTTCCCCGCTCTATCTTGTGCATGCATGCGCCGGATGTACAAGGAAGCGGTCAGCGAACGATACGATATTCGCCTTGGCTGCAGCGATTGGATTTACTGTACTTAAGTTCATTTTGCATCTTTGTCCTCACTCAAGGTTAGTGTTGTTACCTTTTCTAATACTTAATTTTTCTTTAATATGATTTTTTTTCTTGCCGACCAATGTCTAATGGAGAGGAGTCAGAGAATATGATAGAAGTGTCCTGTCACAATATTCGTTACTATAGTACGAGGGAAAGAAAATTCAGCCACACAGATACAACGCAAATGCTTTAAATACTGAAGCACTACTTTGAAGAGGAAAGAGGTGGTGGGTGGGTGACTGAGAAATATATTTGAAAACACCAATCGAATGAAATGAAAATCTGTCATCCTCTTCAACAGTATTGAGGTAGAGAGAGATAGAGTTCCATTACGTAATTACAAAATGAAGAATAAAAGCCTGGGTTTTCTGACTTACGTGCCAAGAGAAAAGGCCAGACAGGAGGAAATCGCGAGTACAATGAAGACAGCTAGGTGCTTCATTTCTGCAAGAAAGGATATTTCCGGTCAGATAAATTCGCTGTCAGTGCGAATGAGGAAGCCTGCACTTGAAGGATGCCAGGAAAGCCACGCGGCTTCTCGCTTTCTCTCATCAATAATTTAAAGGAAAACTTACGGACAGCGTACGTGCTCACACCACAATGCTCGACGTCCAAGGGCCTATTGCAGAAGGAGTCAGTGAAAGCGCGGACGGACATCCGCGTGAGTAGCTTATCTCGTTTTCAAGGTCACCTTTTCCTTTCAATGCTCCGTGATCAGAGTTGCATACAAGCATTGTCAAGGGCTAATCTCAGTCACGACTACGCAATGTACAAGGAGCAAAACGTTTCTCATATCACACATTTATTGCTCACTTCCAACCTAGGTAGCATCTCTCTTCTCAACGAAGTCCCCTCCTACCGTATGTTGAAAATTTTCTCCGTTCTCTCTCTCCAGCCCTCCGCGCCTTCTTTGTAGAAGTTTCTGCCTTTCGACTCAATCCAGTCGAGAATGGTGGACTTGGGATGCTTAGGGGAATGGGAGATGCTTAGGGGAAACGGTGGACCATTTCCCCGTCCTCCCGTCCAAAGACTCGCAGCAGGAGAGGAATATACCCGTTTCGGGTCCATCCACTCGAGGACAAGGATGGTGTGGGGGTCACCACAGCAGCGCACATTCTATTCTCGGTCATTTTCGGGAGTTCCATCCAGGTGTGCGTGTAGAGATCTAATAGGCGTCTTTCGCGGGGATTGCTCTCCCCTCCCGCTAGAAAGAGAGGGTTCTGAAATCCCACCCCCTTCGTCCCGAGCACGATAAAAGGAGGATGGATTTGGAGTTTGTAGTCCGATTTGTGAGGGGCATCAATGGGATCCTTCCCCTCCAGATGAAGAACCTTGCGACTGAAGCGGCAGGGAGGGGAGAAGAGTGGAAGGGGTCCGTTACGTAAATATTGCCCCAGGTCTCAAAATTCATTTTGAAGACCTTATGTTACACGCTTAGCCTAGGCCAAAAAATATCAAACTTGACTAAGCTGGCGGCTTCAGGTGTTGTTGTTTCCACATTCGCACATCTTGCACCAAAGTTTCAGTTGCCAGCAGGTTGAAATAGTCTACTCTGTTTAAAAACCAACTGTTGAAGAGGATTTTGTAGGCCAGATGAAATCAAATAGTTGTCCAGCAGTTTGACACCCATGGCCTAGACCGACCCGAAGTTCGTGAAAGTCTTCCACTGGTCTTTCTCGATAACGGGATGGAGGTGGAGCTGCCTTATATCGTTGAGAGGGCAGCTGAGTTTTAGAGATGATGACTGAGCTCGGGAATTTCCGAGAAGCAGTTCGTGGAAGACATCTGCTGATTGGGGTGACCGTCTCACGCTCGCACTTTCTCTCCGGCCTTCGCAACAGTCGGATCCGTTCTTGAGAATAGGAGAGAGAGTCATTGTATGACTTGCGCCTACCCCCCCCCCCCCCTAACTAAGGGATGTTCACACCTCGATATGAGCTTTCATGCAGGAAAACTCCCGCACAATACTTCGAGTCCCGTTGTCCTCCGTGCAAAGGAGAGTAACTCTAGAGGATAAAAGCGGCAGGATCCCATCAGGGTGGGACAGAACAAGATGGCTTATTCTTGGATCCCAATAATGCCGCCAGTTGGGTCGTTAGCATCCAGTATCCAATTCCGTATATTTCACTCATATGCTTCCACGCAAAGCGATGAAGATGGTCTTTACGGAAGAAGCGGACATAGTTGTAATCGATGAGGGAAAGTGCCAATAAATGTAAGGGTGTAGGTCTCACCCGACGAAGAAGTCATCCTCCCTTCAACGGGATGAAATGGGACTCAAAGGGTTGTACGTGGGGACACGTAAGGAATGGGAAAGAGGGGTATATAGCCTATAGCGATGAGTGGGCCTCTGAGTTTTAGGGCGGCCGAATGAACTCTTGATTCGAATGATTTCTTGCAGAAGAGTTCGTGGAAGTCTTCCACAGGTCGGCTAGTCAGTCATGAATCTGGCTTGAAACATTTTAATGGTAGAATAATGAATTGAGTTTCAGCGACATGTCACAGAAGTGATGTGCTCAAACTGGAATGCTGTTTGATTTCAAACGAAACGAAGCAAATTATAAATAAAATTCAGGAATGAAAGACTTCAATGCTGCTGTATAGTCGGTTGTCCTTACGGTCAATATTACACAGGAACCTGTGCATGTTTGTGAAAGTGGCCCTTTTCAACCGCAAAACTATAGTTTCCCTAGAAAAGGGAACAGGGCATTCAATGCAAATCACTCGATATGTGGCCATGGAGTTCATTCTTGCGCCCGAAAGACGCGGTTTCGTGCTACGTACGAGGGGTGATCCAAAAGTTTCTGTCCTGAGATAGTAGGAATGATCGGAGAAACATGAAATTTGGTTCCCATATTTAATCATCCTTTTCAGTAATTTGAAAGACCTGCAATCGGTCTTAGGTGCATTCATATTTCAAACC